TTTTTTTTGTTTCTTTATTTGTGTGCTGGCGTATTTGTGATGAACGGGGATTGCTAATTTATGTTTTGATGACGTCTCTCCTTGAAATATGTACATGTGTGATTATTTGGCAATACTTTTGCACACGTCTCAGTAAATGTGTACACGCATTCAGTGATGGATAGCTATTTCAATTTGTGTGTATTCTTGTGTATCATCAAATTAGATTCATATTATTCTGCCATATGATGTTACCTCCTGTTTATGTACATGCAATCATGTTCATCTGCAGTTCTCTGTGAGTTTATATGTTTTTAAAAGGCATGCAAGAGTTAATTCCTGCTGATCAAGGCAGCAATACACTCTTTTAATCTCGGGGTGGTCCCTGTGTGCATCCACCACCTTGGGCTGATCAAGGGCAGCGCAGCAAGGGAGGAGGAGCAACCAAAAAGGCCTGGTGGGTCTGTTTATCTGACTGAGTCAGCTTGTAGAAAAAGTGGATCTCTGCAGCCTATTACACTTAGGCAGGGATTACTGCAACCACAGAATGATATTGATTGATACATTTCTTCCTGGCTTCAGTCTGTTAGGTGATAATATGCAACCTCAGGGAGTTATATGAGACGGATAACAAAGTGCTGAAACAGAGATTGATAGAGAAGCATCTGCCAAAATACAGCATCTAATGTTACTGCCCTATAGTGAAATGCCTACGTAGACACCTGGCTTGGGTGTTTAAGGATGATTCTGGTTTATAACAACTTGGGTCTCAAAACAATTTGACAATTTGAGTAAAAATTCCCCAATTAACCTTCATTTTCTAACTAGCCTGGGGATTTGATTGAAATCTGTATGACTGTTTGTGTGTCTTCCTTTGAACTTCTTTTAACTCTTTTCAGTGTTATTACTAACAAGAGTGATGGTCAAACCTGTGACAGCCAAGTTCTCATTCCAAGACTTTTATAAAGTCATGCTTGTTGAGTGATATTCTGCCCTGCTCCATGTTTTTTCTTTGTTTTATTCATATCACTCATGTTCAGTGTGGCCTGTTTTATTTTGTAAATAACCTCTTCTCTCGATTCGTTTCACTACCTGCCTTAGTGTGTTTTCCAACCAGTTTTGAACGTCTGCCTCACCCTGATTAGTTTCACCTGTCCCTCATTAGCTCTTCACTAACTAGACCTCTTGCTCACCTGGGGCCTGTACTACGAAGACTGTTCAATTTACCCAGGGTATATTTTCATTGTCTGGCTTAAATAACCCTAACACCTGCAATCCTAATAAGTGGTCCTACGAAACTGGTTGTCAACCTGGTAAATCAACCCAGAGTTTCTCAATCTAGCTATGCCTTCACATAAAAGGAGCGGCGTTTGCAACATGTGACCAATCCCAAACATAGACAAGTCTGCTGTCGGCAGAGCGGCATATTTTACAAACGAAGAGCAAATTATTAGACAAATACAAAGAAGTTCAACATTTAATCCAGACTAGAGGCAACAGAGTTGCAGCTGCTAAATGTGTCACAGCTCTGCCACCATTATCGTGTTTTGTCCATCTCTCACTCACCTAATCAGTTTATTCGGTGCACCTGCCAGTCACACCCACCTTGTCAGCTCATTACTCTCACCTGCTCACTCTGCTGCATCCACTATTTAAACCCCAGTCACACACACACACTCACTGCCAGATCATTGTTATGTCTACCCACCCGTTTGGCTCGTCCTGTTTCCGGTGTCGCGCCATGCCTCGTTTTCCCCCTTGTCTCGTCTGTGGATTCCCTCTTGTGTTCCTGTTCTGATTTCTTTATCCATTAAATACCTGCTTCACTCAACTTCTAGTCTTGTCTGCATTTGAGTCCTCCACCACACCTGTGACAAAATGCAGGAAGGACAGCAGACAAAATATGGCCAACTGTGTGAATCTGACTATAATTACATATATGTATTCCATTAAATTGATGTGTTGCTTTTATGTATTCTTATAGAGTAGAAGACTCTTTATTCATCCCCTTGGGGAAATGATGGTGTATATGACAATTTTAGCCTTAATCTTTCAGCTTTAACTCTGGTGGTGTGAAACAGTTAGCTAATAAAAAAACAACATGAATATAATTCAAAGTGGTAAGAAGGCTCACTTTCATATCTTATAATCACCTACAGCATACATAAAAGCACTGGTAGCAAAGTAACGCAAGGCAATGCGACTGTAAGGCACAACTCCGACATGTAAAACTGCAACACACGGATCAACAAGCTTCCGCACATAAGTAAATATTTGACATGAATATTATGAGAGAAATTATTCAGATTTAGTATTATTGAACTTATAAAATGTAATTTAATGTAATTTATCAGTTGTTAGACTGCTGTCCACCCGTTAATACGGATATGTGTTGCATGCAGGAGACAAACCAGTTTTTTTCTCCTTAGGGAAAATGTTGGTTTTGAAAGGCTAAATACCAAGAAATGGTAGGTTGTTAATTTAAGAAATTATTACATCTATCATTTTCAATAAAAATTGTGACTTTTGGACTTTCCAGCCAACTGGAGCTGTTGTAAAAACATCAGTCGGAAACGATCTTACGCAGCCACCACTGGAATCTAGTTCTACCATACTATTAATGGATCTAATTAGTCTAGTCTAATCTATTTAAAATGTTAATGTCAACATTATGAATGAAGCTTCGCCTATCTGTTACAGCCCTATGAAAGTCTAAATCCCACTTTGAATTAATATAGTTTATTTATTGTTTGTTTGTTTCACACCTCAGGGGTTACAGAATAAGGCTACAACAAATCTAAGATATTGTCATCAATACAACTCATTAATTTAAAGGAATACACAAAATTATAGTAAGATCTCCTTGTGCGTATTTATGTATAACATTATCTAACAATCTGTGCACAGAGCTTTGATTGGCCAGTAGGAGGTGTTTTTATACAAGTTGATCTCTTATCTTGAACGTAACCTGCTCGGGGGCAGGTTAGGTTTTCAGCATACGTTACCATGGAAATCTACTCCGGTAAGAAGTGAATCACCATCGTAGGACTGCAAACTGAGGGTTAACCCTCAAAATACCTCGCTAAACCTAAATCCTGCTTTGTTGTACCTTGGTTGTCACTTCCCAAATCAGTCAATGATTACATATACCAGGCCAGTTCCTTTGTCTTCGTTGCTGCATGGAGTTCTGTATCTGTAATCGGCCTGCTGTTACTCCTTGCTTTTTGGGACCCTTGACATGTAAGCTTTTTGTTTGATTAAAGTATTTTTCTTTGTATCAGCCCATCTCTGATTCTGTATTTGGGTCCTTCCTGCCTGTGCTGCTTCAGCATCCACAATTTGTTGATGTTGTTGTTGGCACACATGTTTACAAAATAGCCTGTTTCCACATGTTACCTAGGTGCAGCAAAAAATTTGGTCAGTGTTACAAATCCAACGCGTACAGAAAAGTTACTATCGTTACAGGTGACCCCGCCCCCAGGTCTCCCCTCAACCAGTGTCTTAAGCTCTTATTGGCTGACAGACTCCCAGACAGGTCAAGATATTTGGCTTGCTAGATATCTGGTATGTGTCTGCGATGCATCACTAAGCCTCTCAGCTCGCGTCTTGAGTTGAAAAAGTGGGAAGTTAGGGCTAAAGTTTGCTAGTATGCTCTTTGGTGTTGGGCAGCTACAGCAGATTTATTTGAGCTTTTTCACTGAAAACAGCTGCCTGTTGCTGCCGGAAACAAGGTTGATGTGAGCAGTGAAACTGAACAAAAACAGTAAAGTTGCGAGCCGTAACACGATAACAATGAGCTTAAAGACGTTAAAGTGCTTTACAGAGCTGAGGGTAACTTTAGAGTCAAGAATCACCCTTACGGGCGACGTCTTTCACAGTAATAATAGTAACAAATATTGACCAGAACAGTTTTAAGAGAAAAGGATGGACAAGGTGAAGAATAAAAAATGTGGCCATGTTACACATTTATATGTACACTATACATTTTTGCAGCGGTAAAGGGGGTAGAGGGGGATAATGTAGCTCTGTGTTTTTAGTCCCCGTTTGCCAGTCACATTTAAGACAGTGGAAGGTTAGTGTGTTACGCCAAGCTTCTTCTAGGAAGGTCTGTGTTCCTGTGGTTGGTAATTACCTCTCCTGGAGGCTGACCAGGGAGAAATAAATCTAGACGTGTGGACTGGAGGGATGATGGCTTTAGTGGCAGAAACAACACACACACACATAAACATGCACTCACACATAAACATCCTATCACATACACATAGAAATACTACTCCTCCAAGCGAAAAGCAGCAAAACAGGGATTTAAGATAGGAGCTTTCTCCTTAACTGATAAACTCCCGTTAGCAAGTCTTGCAGCCAAAAAAGCCTCCATGCGTATATGTGTGCCTACAGCAGATGCAATGCATCCTCATTCTCTGCTTCTCAAATACATGTAGTACTGCAGCCATTGAGCTATTGGGTCTGATCACTTCTGATACTGCCCACCTCACTTTCCCAATCCCTTCAAACAAACTTGTTTTCATGAAAATACATTCCTGGGTTTGGCGGATTTAGCGGATTTTCTTCCTTCCACTCTCATCATTCTTTCTCTGTCCAGGACTTTTTTTTATGGGGTGGCGGGGGGTGTGTGCTGAAGGAGCAGCGGTGGCAACAGCCCTTTTTAAGAAGTGCTGATGCCAGAGAGTTGAACATTTCTGTGTGCATTCTAGGAATGAAGAATGCATCTCCAACCGGCTTAGAGAGAGCCAGAGAAAGGGGCTGAGGTAGGGAGTGGAGATGTTTTTCAATACAGCACTATGCTCATTCGGTAAACTATGGTCCATTTAGAGTAGACAGAAATGCAGGGTTTGCTTTAGGGCCTGGCAACCTTGTAATTGACAGGTCGTTACCACGTTGTTGTCTGAGAGTAGTCAATGTTTTCGTATTACAACTCTTTCCATAGTGTTTTGGTTCATGAAAGTTAATTGTAACATTTTGATTGCTTAAACATGTGTTCAGTGGTCGGCTGAACTTAGCTCCACTCTCTCGTGACAATTCTGGTTGGAAAAATAACAAGACGGTGCTGACCAAAAGACAGAACTCAATGCTTCATTGTCTATGGTCTATGGTGGCAGGTCTTTTTTTAAATGAATTATGGGTTGTTCCATTAGAGAAAGAAATACAATAAATTCTCATTTTGTTTCAGAAAGAAAGAAAACTTTCAAAAATGTGGTAGGTCATGCACAGATTATATCACAACAAAGGGAATAAGGGGTGACATATGGTGACAAAATGGTGGGGGCCGGATCAACACACAGACATTCTCATCCTACAATAATCTACAGCAGATGATGCCTGACACACACATGTGCTCCATGAAGACATTGTCTTTGATGGAAAGCACGGCCACACAGCCATGATCATTATTTCCTGCACACTGATTTACCATACCGTCTGTGATGTATTTATAATTACTGATATTATGGACTGTGAGTGAACCCTTCCCTAAATATGCCTTAAAACAATGTGAATGCATCTAGTGGGGATTTTGATTTCAACTCAGAAAAAGAAAACGTTACATAATTTGCCAACTGGCAACGAAAAGCCTTTTGGTCGGGTAATCTGAGGAGTGACAGCAGCTACGGAAACAGCGACACGTCGGGCCAAACCACAGCTCTCTCACAGTACCTCACCCTCTACAAACTCCATCTATCCATCCATCTATGCATGCACCGGCCCTTGCCAAATCCTCAAAACCTAATTTGCGGGGATCGACATGTAAAAGTGATGACCTCCTACACAGCTGTGAGTAGCGGTGGAAACTCTTTCTGAGGATCGTTGACGTAACCCTGACAGGCCAGAGGTCTGTCAGCAACCACTGGCATGAGGTTAAGACAGGGGAGGCGTCGTTGACTAGACCGGTCTCACTAATTGAAAGCAAAACGTTCATGCAAAGAGGAGTAATGTGGACTCAATATTACAAATCACTATAAATGAATTAATGAAAACATGGATATTTACAGAAAAACATGAGCATTTGAGAGTGAAAGAAATGCAATGATCAAATGAAGAGCTACATGCTTATTATAGGCACTGGCAGTAAGCTTCATACATACAAAAAAAACACAAGCACAAACTTGCAATGAGTCCTATGGGGGCTTTGTGATTGTACAAATGGAAAAGGAAAGGGCACTGAACCTTACTCCTTATCGACCAATCTTTCACTGTTGACTGCGGTCCTTAGTGTCTGCTCAGAGAGTGAAGAGTCCTCCGCTTCGCCAGCTGTCCCTTGTCATCCTTCAGCGTCCTTGACTCTCATCGTCAGGCAGCTCTCGGCCCATGGGAGCCCTGGGCACTGCCAGCTGAGCCACCTTGTCGACAGCTCTTTCCCATGGCTGGCTGCGGACGCCTCGCTTTGAGCCCTGGAACAGACAGGAAGAACACATCACCCCTGAAGATAAGTATGGGAACATTTCATCTTAGGGAGCACAGGTGAGAATGGTGGTCGAAGACAGGTAGATATATTCTATTATTCACAGCCCAGCAAGGGCGTCAGATCTCCCTGGCGATCGCTACAGAGGCTGGTGTCAGAGGTGACATCAAAAGACAAGGGCTCGGTGACAGCCGCCGACTATGCCACCGTCGAGGTAATTCTCAGGTGCCCCGGCAAGGTTCCCTACTCCGGAGGCACCGGTGGTATCAGGAAAGGTCACTTAGCAACACAGGTCAAAGCTTTGATCCAATCAGAGGAAAATCCAGCAGGTAAGGGCTTTCATGAGCGAGGGGTAGAGGGAAATGGTTGGCTGTCATTTTGTATTTTAGAGGCAAAGGGAAGCAGGCAGAAGCAGCCCCATCATTATTTAATACACAGCTCGCTTTAGATGCGTCGAGACTAAAACAGAGGGTGAAAACAAAAAAGGACCCATGATAACCGTTATTATTAAACTGCATATTTTATGAGGCCCCACCCGATTACAAAGTCAATTGGCGGTTATGTATTCACGCAGGCAGTGAAAAGGCATTGAGAGAGTGACCCTCAAGCTTGACCTCGCACGCTTTGAACTACCGCCCCCCCCCCCCTCTTGTCTCAGGCCCCCTCCTTTTTTATGCCTGCACTTGGTCCCCAGGAATGAATGCTTTGGTCCGGGCTGTCCAGCTGCATAATTAAACCACATTACATTTTAGGAATGTAAATAGCAGAAAGTGCTTTTGTGAAAAATTCATTGGATGCTCCCGGCTGGGCCACATAATTATTTAGAGAGCATATTTAAATACCTCTTACGATTATGGAGGAATGCAAGCAATTTCCCTTTCAATGTCCTAACCGGTCATTTGGTCTGGAGATAGGAGTTCACAAAGACAGAATGGGAAACTATAGAAATGCTGTGCACCACGGCAATGAACCGTGATGAGGGAGGTGTTCTGTTCAAGAACTGCTCTTTGAACCCAAACAAAAGCCAGTGTCAACTCCTGGAGTATCATACACATCCACAGAGAAAGGGCTCCAGGCTGACACAGCTGCATGCAAGCTATGATATCAGTGAAATTGATACCATTCGTCAGGGTTTTAAGACACAATTTGTCAGGACTGTTGGCAAAAATGCAGCATCATCCCACCATCATTGGCTAAACAGACACGTTAAGCTGGAAAACGAAATGGGTTTCTACATGTCAAATACGATTCCTCTGATAACTCTGATACACCCATGGTATGCTGAGCTGTGTATATTTTCACAAAGATCAAGTGTGTGCTCTATACTGCACACCACATCTGCCATGTGTAGAAACATGGCTGAGCTCAGATCAGCTGCCATCGCTCATCACTTCCCCCTCTCTGCGAACTTCGCACAGACAGGGCTGACTTCCTGTCTGTCTGGAAGATTGCCTGTCTCAGGGGGAAGGGGGACATGCCTCTGGAATGACAGGACTACACTGACTGTGTGCGAGTCTTTCTATAGTAAAATATGCAATGATTCTGCTTTGCCAAATGCAATAACTCACAAACATTGAGCAAAATCTCTTCTCGTGTCCTTCTCATGTCCTCTACTATATATTCTGTTGTTATGCAGACTAACAAAGGTACACATTCCGAACCCCCCCCCCCCATCCCCCTATTTGATCAAATGCACAACACTGACAACCAAACATCTCCTCAGCCAACACACAACATCCCCAAAGGTAGGCTGATATGGTATAAGTGAATATGTGGCTAGCTGTGATCTCTTTCTCTGTCAAACATCAGTGTCTTCTCCCAAGACAAAAGATTGGTGACAAGACATAAAAACACACTCAAACAATAAACGGTGTTATTGAGGAGGTGATTGAGGAATAATAATTAATGACGAGCATGCAGCAGGACAAAGATGCTCTCCAAAGACTAGCCGGCTGTCCCCCAAGGGACACAATGAGGCTTCAATTAACTGACAGGCAGGTGTATTAGAATTTCTATCATGGGCCTTGGTGGGCTAGTGAGATGCAGGACTACAATGCTTTGAAAACCAGTGTGGTTTCCCCATCAAACACGTCCTCTGGTCCTTTGATCTGCTGGGTGGTATGTGTCCTTGGAGATACGTGTCTACATCCTCAAAGCTCTTTGTTGCCAGCACCTCATTTTCCTGCTCTGAGTTTTAGTGCTACAGCAACAGCAGGCTCAGCTGCATTCATTCTCAGACAAGAGAAAGAGCACATCCACATCATGTGACACCAGGTGATTTAAACATGCATGATTAATACACCAGTGCAAGAGCGTGCCGCTCATGAATACAATTGATATGACCATCTCAGGACTGAACATGTACAATTGCTACTTGTATGTATTGTTGGAGGTATAAACAAAGGCAGAATCGCATTTGAATAAGCCATATTTAAAATAAAAATGCAGTTTGCAATATTTCCTGGCCAGGTAGCTAGTCCTTTGCCGATACTACAAACTTAGCTCGGTTCCAGACATCTGAATTACTGCCCACAGCTCTGATTTGAATTTTGCAATTTGTGGAGGTCTGATGTTGTGCCCTTTTCTGACAGACAAAGAAACAATTAACCAATCAGAGCTTTGTATGCAGGACAAAGAATGGAAATGTCATCTTTATTCAAAGCTCTATAGCTGCCTAGCTACATCCATGAAAATGTGTTGTGTGTGGATGACGCATGCTGCTGTAAATCAACTTACAGACCGAACAACTCTTACATCAACATATTTCTCCAGTCTTTGTGAATGAAGTTAACTACAGCTTTTGTATCGACTAAAAATAAAGTCCACAGTACGGACCTTACCCACTATTGGGTATTTAGTTCAAACAAAACAAAACGACCCCAAACAAAATGTCAATTTGTACTGATCATGGCAATGAAAAAGTTGTATCAACTGATTGTAAACACACAAAGGCAAAAGGTAACATTTATTTATGCTAAACTTGCTTGCACAAATAAAGTTATAAAAGTTTTACAAAAAATAACATAATCTCATACACACTTTACTTTAATGCCATAATTTGCCACACTGCCTTTACTGCACACAGCTGACTGCAGTAGATCCTGAAATTAGCACCCCTATGCACTGGATCGAGGATCACTTTTGAATCAGGAATGGTTTTCAATCGAGAATTGATTTTGAAGCGAATTGTGTACCTAAGAATCAAAATCTAATCGAATTGTATCCTGAAAGATTCACAACCATATTATAGTTAGCTGTTTTGTAGGATGGCCATGCTTTACGCACAGTGCTTCATTGTACACTACATTGCGCAACTAATATATGCTTACTTATTATAAAACCGCCCTGCTACAATCAACTGTGAAGTATCAAGAGTGATAGCTTATGGGGCAAAAGCCAAGTGGCCTCCTCTGCCAGAAACCCTCCACATGATCACTGACGTCAGCAGGTGTTCTCAACAGCCGGCTCTCCCTTGAACTGCTGGGTCAGTTTCCTGTTAGGCCCTGACACAATATGCATGAACGTTCCATCTTGCAGCGTTGCCTCCCTGTGAAGTGGTGTTCAGGTTACATTCCTCCCAGCTAAAGCCCTTGGCCCTCCCCAGCCACAGCAGATCTGTAAACTGTTTACACTTCACTTCCCACACCTGGAAGAGGGCCAAGGCAAACCTGGAACGAGGCCCACAAGAAGGAACTAACAGACAGGCCCTTAGATTTCAGCAGGAGAGGAGTGATTGTGTCTTGGGCTGGAGTGGAGTATTGACTCACCACCAACACTAAAACTACCCCACTCTCCTTTTCTCTCTCCTAAAGGGAACATAGAAGAGGAAGTTTGAACTGGAAACAGGTTCATGTGTTTCCCACACAACTAAGATGGAGTGCAGTGTTCTCATCCCATAGACATCTCCTCAAGTCTTCTCATGAGACTTAATGAAACTAGTTCTGATGTACGGTGACTAAACACAGGTTAGATGTCGATGCCTCATTCATGCTTGCTTTATTTATACAATGCTTTGAAGTAGAAAACGTATGGCTTGTATTTGTAAATGGTGGTAATATCGCCTCTATTTCTTCATGTAATTACGGTTTCCTTGAAATCAGTCGCAAATCCACCACTGATGCACAGGTGTGTCATTGCTTGGGTCCCAGTGAGGATATCATAGCTAACTGGTGCTTAAGCCACACACCACTTCTGCCATGTCAGTTTTCATGCATGCTACGCATCATGTGAATGCCAAGTCTAATCCCTGACATATTCTGCAAGCGTGATGTAAGTCTAAGACAGAAAGAAATCCTCTGTTCCCCTGGTGCTCACAGTGAAGCTCTAAGAACGAGGAAAACAGGCAACTGAAAGAATGAGGGAGGACCCGCTGCATACGCTCTTGATTTGAAAAAAAGAAAAAAAACTGAATCACTTATTGTAAAAGGGGCAAGGGAATTCAGAGAGTAGGGCACAGATATACACTGCAGGCAAACACTTATATAGTTACTAGATTATGGAAAGATACTATGCAAAAGTGTGCAATGTGAATACCAATTATTATTTTTTCTGCTTAAATGATGCATGAGAGATGTATGCATTAAATGTACTGAGGCAGAGGTTGGGCAATTAGAGTAAGACCTACATTTTGTGCTTATGTACAATAAAGCTTCCATGAAGAGACAGCCTTCTACTTCTACTGTGGCCCTTTACCAGGCAGTGATACACCCAGATGTAGTTGATGGTCTTAAAGCCATGCTCCATAACAAAAATGAAAAAAAAACATGTCAGTACCACAGTTTACAGTACAAGCCTGGCCCAGCCTATTAATTGCCCCTGTGACCAATTTGCTGTTTTCTTTGTAAGTGACATTGGCAAAGAAAGGCATTTTCTATGACTGGAATTAGGAGAGGATGAGAGAGAGAGAGAGAGAGAAAGCCCTTAGCCGCAAACTAGCATGTCCTGCAGTGACATGTATATTGAATACCAATCAGAGGCATGGGGCTTTTC